TCTCTCTCTCTCTCTGTGTCCTAACTTGCCCCCCTCTCTTTGTCCACCTGCCACTCTCTCACTCTGTTTCTCACTTCCCTATTTCTCTCTGTCTCTGTCTGTCTCTCTCTCTCTTCCCCCACCCTCTTCTCTTCTCACGCTCTAGTTCTTCCTTCTCTACCCACCAATCTCTCACTCTGTGTCTCCCTTCTCTATCTCGCTATCTGTGGTTGTCTCTCCCCTGTCTCTGTCTCTTCCTGCCTCCCTCATTCGGTCTCTCTGTTCTCTGTCTCCCTCCCTGCTTTCTCTCACTCTGCCTATGTGTCACTCTGCCTATGTGTCACTCTCGCTATCTGCCACTCCCTCACTCTCGCTGTCCCACGCTCGCTTTCGTTCTCTCTGTCTCTCTTGCTCTCTGTCACTCTCGCTCTCCCACGCTCGCTTTCACTCTCTCTGTCTCTCTCGCTCTCTGTCACTCGCTCGCTCTCTCTGTTACTCTCTCTCTCTCTCTGTTACTCTCTCTCTCTCTCTGTTACTCTCTCTCTCTGGGTCTGTGAGCATGTATGTATCTGGGGGGCTGGGTCTCTCTCCCTCTCTCTTGCTCTCTGTTCCTGTGTCTGTCTTTCTGTCCATCAGACACTGTGCGTCTACCTCTCTCTCCCCCTGTCTTTCCCCCCGCCGTCTTTTCCCCCCCTCTCTCTCCCCCTCCCTCTCCAGCCCTGCACCTCACTCTGTGTTGTTATTCTACTCCTACATGTGTGGCTCCCACCCTCTCTCCTCCCACCCACCCCTCCCCGCTGTGTCCTGATCCTGCGTGCTCCTGGCCCAGAGGCAGGGTCGCTCTCACTGCACCACGTAAGTGAGCTGTCTCTCTCTCTCTCACAGATAAAGAGTGCAATAACTCCTTCTTCCTGTGTAAGAGTGGGATTTGTATCAACGAGACCTTCCTGTGCGATAACAGTAACGATTGTGAGGATGGTTCCGATGAGCTGAACTGCTTCATCGATGAGTGTCTGAACAAGGAGCTGAGCGGCTGCTCGCAGGAATGCGAGGATCTCAAGATCGGATTCAAAGTAAGGATGAAGAGGGTGGGGAATGCCGTACTGTCCCGAGGTGGGGAGCAGGGCCTGTGTTTCCCCTCTGCGCTGGGTAAACTCTGTGATCATCAGACACTGGATACTGTCCAGAGGCAGGTCCCTTGTGGCTGTCGGTCTCAGTTTCTGCTTCTCCCTCGGTCCGTCTTCCTCACCCTGTCTGTCTGTGCCCATCCACCTCTTTCTTGGTCTGCCTATGTCTCACCCTCTCTGTCTCTCCCATCCTCTTTCAATCCACCTCTTTCTGTCTCTCTAAACCTGTCTTGACCATACGTGCACATCATTCATTCTCTCTCCCTCTTTCTTGACCTATGTATCTCCCTTTCTCTATCTCTCTGCTGCACGCACTGTCTCCCGACTCTCTCCCGCCCGCAGTCTCTCTCCCCACTCCCCGCTCCCTCTCGCCCTCCCCCACCCACTCTCGCCCTTTCCATTTACATCTCCCCCTTTCCACCTCCTCTTCCCCTTCTCTCTCTTTTCCCCCTCTCTTTCCCTCTCCCTCTCTCAATTCCCTCTCCCTCTGTCATTTCCCTCTCCCTCTCTCGTTTCCCTCTCTCGTTTCCCTCTCTCTCTCTTTACCCCCTCTCTCTTTACCCCCTCTCTCGTTACCC